CGCCCGCCAGCTCGGTCGCTGGCTCGCGCACGGCACGCCGGGTAGCGGACGCCTCGGCGGCCGCACGCCGGATAACCAAATAGAGTCAGGCCTCACCCTAGACGGGCGCACTGAGGATGCGCCGCGTTCAGGGGGCGGGGAAAGTCTGGGCCACGCCCCCACGCCGGCGCCCGCCCCTCCCCCGGTTTTCCGACTCAGCACCAGTGGCATCCCGGGGTGCAGCCGGGACTTTGCGGAGTGCGTGGGCCTCGAGCTTTCGGATTGTTTACTTCACGCAGATATCATCGGCAGCGGTGAGGGCCTCGCCCACGGGGCTGGGGTCAAGCTGGGCGTATCCTGCCCTGGAATGCCTGACGTTTCTCAGTCGAATTCTTCGCGCGTTTTGCTCAACTCCCAAAGGATCGCGCCTCTTTCTCTGCTTGTCACTCACCTTACCTCTAGTGTCGTAGCACCAGTCAGTCTTCAGGATCCAGGGGGACGTTCACCTTTGGCTAATGGCCCAGATTCCTCCGACTTTTGCACTAGTTCCCGGGCTTCGCCGCGACCTGCTTCTTTGGTCCCACTTCAGGGCTGCCTGTTGTAACTTGTCTTCAGCCTTTATAATTCTGAGATAGGTTGTGTTTGGGAGCGTTTAAGCGATTGTTTCCCTTTTCTTTTCTTTTCTTTTTTTTAAACTGGAAGAAGTAGTGATATCTTGAGTCCTGAGAATGGTGGGTGCATGAGAAAAGATAACTTTCAAAGACACCCATAGTTGGACTCTGATGTTTAGAAGTGAACTCATATATTGTTCATTAGTAGCAGAAATTTGATTGAAGCAGAGAACAAAAGTATTATGAATACAACTTAAACTAAATGAACAGTGGCGATATCTTAATCTTTAGATGGCTCTAGAGTGAAATAATACACACCTACAAGGTCATATTTTTAAGTTCCGTGCTGTGCATTTTTCTGTGCTTGGTTTCACAGGAATTATCCTCAGGAACTAAAAAGTTTTTAAAGTTAATACAACTAATAACCTGACCCCCGGGTGTGGCAGCCCACATCTTTAATCCCACAAGACGGCCTGGTATCTAAGTTTGGGGCCAGCAGGGTCTACAGAGTGGGTTCCAGAACAGCCAGGACTACAGGATGATCATTTAGTGTACAATGAAACAAAAGGAATATTTAACAGCATAATGAGAAGAGTTGCAGTATTTACAGCTATACAGGAAATTGCATATAAGTTGGTTGCGTTTTAAACTTATTTTCGCTATGAAAGCCTATACAAATTTTTCACTATGGAGCCATTCAGGATGTAATTTCAGAGACAAAGTAATACACTTTATTTGGTCATGTCTGCTGTATCATTATAATTAATGAAGAACTGATTGGATCTGTTAACACTTATTCTTACTGCCATATTTACATATGAAATGAGGTCTTAGATAACAGTGCTATTTCTTCATACGATTAGAGTAGTTTCTCCACTTAACAGTCAGCCTACAGCTGGTTCCTTCAGCCCTATTCCTTTTTTTTTTTTTTAAAGCCCAAAAATACCTTACATTCGTCCTCAGGACCCTCTCAGGACTTACACATTGTGAAGCTCTCTCAAGGGCCTGGAGCCCACTCACGTGATGATTATAGCGAAAGAGCAAGATGCACATTGTATTTCTCACTTCAGCCCCTCCCCCACCTACCCAGCAAAAAAAACGAAAACTCTGTTGTGTTTTATTGCCTGTCTTACTGGATGGCACTTAGCTATAGTCTGGTACCCTCCATTTAACCCAGGCACCCGGGCCTTTCTCAGAAAGTTCTTTCCTGTCTCCTCCTGTTTCTGCCCTTCCACCTCACTCTCCCTGATGTCTGACTAGTCTTCCAAGGCAGGTTTGATTGTCACCTCTGCTTAAATATTTTAGCCATCTCCAGATTTAGAACAGAGCCCAAAGTAGGCTGCATGGTGGCACTCATCTGTAATCCCAGCATTTGGGAGGTGGAGGCAGAGGATCAGGAATTCATGATCATCTTAGCTCCAGGCCAGCCTGGGATACATGAACCCACCCTTGGAGTTGTACATCCATCTCCCTCTCTCTACCCTTACAGAGTTTCCAGTCCTGTCATAAGCAAATTAATTAATACTAACCATCCTGACTTTACACCTCACACCTGAGCATAAGTAGCTCCCCAAAAGAGCTTTTAAAACTTTGTTTCCACGTTTACAAATTTGATGATGAGCACATTAACTGTCATTTTCTACATGTCAGTAACACGGTTTGCGGCTTTGCCCTCTGAAGTATCATCTCCTCAACTACCCCATCCCTCTGGTGTTTTTTGGCCAGGTCTTGCTGTATAGCCTAGTCTGGAACTCAAGATCCTACTGACTCGGTTTTCCAAGTACTGAGATTACAGTCTTACTTCCCAGCCAGCCTGGGTAATGACTTGAACTGTACAGTTTCCTTCTCCACTGGGATGATGTTTTAACAGTTAGCACTGTGCCTCCCGCCCACTACTCCTGTCGGTCCTCCCGGGTGACTGGATCACAGCTCCACTCGCCTAACTGGAATTCCCTCTCTGATGGGTGGCTGTGTCACTTCCTCTCCTCAGGCCCACTTCCAGACTTCCTTCTTGTTCTCTCCTTTCACCCCTTGTCTTCATCCCTGCTCCCTAGGTGCAGACTGATTTGGGGGCAGGTTTCATCTATAGGCAGGCTGGCCTTGAACCTGTGATTGTCCTGTTTCTACCACCCCAGTGCTGAGGTGGCAAGGGTACACCAGCTTGCTCAGTTTATGATGCTCTTCAAGGAAGCCGATTTAAGCCAGGTGTGGCGACTCTTGTGCTTTCTGCACTGGGTAGGCTGAGGCAGAAGAATTGCTGTGCGTCTGAACCCTTAGTTACACTACATGATGAGTTCCAGGTTGTTTAAAAGCAAAATGAAAAGAATGCCCATATATTTAATCAACTTAGTTTTTAGGGTGTCGTAGCAGGCTTTCTCAGACCTCTAGCCCCCAAATCATAACATGGAGAAATATTATTAATTATGAATGCTTGGTCTTATGCTTGTCCCACTAGCTTTGTAACTTAAATTAACTTGTTTCTCTTCATCTGTGTTTTGTATATCCTATTCTGTGTTTGGCTGGCTGACTGGCCACTGCTTGGCTGGCCCCAGGGTTCTCCCTCTCTTTCTCCCTCCATCTCCCTACTTCTCAAGCCTAAATTCCTCATCCTCATATTCTCTCTGCCCACCAGTCCCACATATCCATCTACTGCCTAGCTATTGGCTTGTTCAGCTTTTTTATTAGCCCAATCATGATGTGAGATGTCCTTCTGTATATGTATTGCTTTTATTGGTTGATGAATAAAGCTATTTCAGCCAATGGCTTAACAGAGTAAATCCAGGTGGGAAATTCAGATAGGGACAAAGAGGAAGAGTAGGCAGAGTCGAAGAGATGCCATGTAGCTGCTAAAGGAGTAACATGCCACACTGGTAAATCGCAGCCTCGTGGCAATACGTAGATTAATAAAAATGGGTTAATTTGCCAGGCAGAGGTGACATACACCTTTAATCCCAGCACTCAGGAAGCAGAAGGAGGCAGGTCCCTGTGAGTTCAAAGCCAGCCTGGTTTACAAGAGCTAGTTCCAGGACAGCCAGGACTATTACACAGAGAAACCCTGTCTTGAAAAAAAAAAAAAGAAGAAGAAGAAAGGGGTTAATTTAAGATGTGAGAGCTAATAAGGAATACAACTGAGCCATTAGCCAAACAGTGCTGTAATTAATATAGTTTCTGTGTGATTATTTGGGTCTGGGCAGCCAGGAAACAAAAGTACAGTCTCTGTTTGCACAGTCATGTGTTTAAGGCAGAAAAAGGTAAAACAACATATCTTTACATAATTAAACAAATGCAGCATAAACAAATGTAACACACCTCTACATAGAGTAATATTCTACAACATAAACAAATGTAACACACCTTTACATAGTTAAAGTAATATTCCACAACAGGGTACTTCTTATTCTCTTTCCTACAGCTAATATACAGCCTATATATTCTGGTTTTGCCCCGCTGGACTTGTCATTCAATTTACATGTATTGTGCAAGTCAGAGTATATTAGGGAATTCCAGGCTCTTAAATAAGTTGGGAATAGATATACTCAGGTACCTTCTTGTCAGTTATTCCCTCTGAGACATATGAAAAGTTCTGATTCTGCCTTTGAGAACTAAGTAGTGTCTTGTGATTATCTAAGCACTTTATGTCTTGATGACCATGCGCCTGTCATCTTTCCACTGAAGAAATTAAACAGGTTCATAAATAATATTTTAGTCATTGTTTTTCTTCATAATAAAGGATATGACAAGCTTTCTTATTTTCATGACTGGGAGGACAAGCCACAACACAGTTCTTGGTGACTTTAGCAAGTCCCATTGAATAATAGGAAGTGGTCCCCACCCTTTTGTATCAATGAGTGTGTGTGTATTTAGAAACAAAGAAATAAAGTCTCTCTTCCTTATTTGCCTGCTGTCTATGACTGGGCTCAGTATTAGTCTCTGGTTCCTGAATCCTTAGCATGTTTGAAATTGTAGGT